AGATAACCCCTTCCTGTCTCTCGATGGAAGCATAATTGTACTGTCTCAGAGATACTGATCAGAGCGGATCTCTGACCCGTGGCATCTCTCCATCAGCTTTTCCGTTTCCCACCTCCTTTAGCACATCGCCGTCAGCAGCTTTCGTGCTGCAGCTTTTCCAGGCCAGTTTATTAAGAAAAAGCTAAAGAAGAGAGGTCAGGGGCTCTGCCCTTAGAAAATTGTTCACTTGCTTTGGTGTGAGTAGGATGCCTTTCTGTGGCTGCTCTGCTGCTTCACTAGCCCGCTTGGAATTAAGGTTTTAGGAGAAGACAACACTTGCTAAAGAGGTATTTGTGCGAGCCTCTCAGGGCTGTGCTATTGCTAAATGTGGTAACTAATTTTAGAACTATTTCTGGGTCTGAGGAGATAGCTCAGTCAGTACTTGTCATGCAAGTTCGGATCCCCAGTACTCTAGAAATCTGGGTGTAGTGAAATGCACCTATAATCTCAGCACAGGGGTGTAAGGATGGGAGAAGCAGATCTGGGGGCACCTGGATGGCTCCCAGGACAGTCAGAATTAAAAGGATTGCTGAGATCCAGTTTCCGTGAGTGATACGGCCTCACCTCAAAAATGAGGTGGAAGGGATGTGATTAAGGAAATTATTTAACACTGACCTCTGTTTTCTGTGTGCACACGCATGCATGTGCATACACACACACACACACACATACAGAGAGAGAGAGAGAGAGAGAGAGAGAGAACAAACCATTTTTGTCACAGTCCTGTAAGAAAGCCAGCCAGACCATGTCACTGATCCCCATTGGCATGGATCACTTGTCAATGAGAGTGATCTTTATGACAAAGGCAGTAACAGACCCAATCACGTGAGTGAGGGAGACAAATACTCTTAGTCCACCCCGTTCTCAGCAGTAAACCACACGGTACCAAGAGCACGTTTATAGTGGAAGCCTCGGTGAAGAATGGAGAGAGGTGAGGATGCTGCCGCTCTCAAGTGTAGTGATTTCCTACCACAGTTTCTGCACACTCTAGATCAGTCTGAAGAGGCACAGCAAGGCGTGTTTCTATCTCCATAGGTAATTCCAACAGACAATCAGGTGTGGGACCACTCCCATAAAGAGAGAGAAGGGCAGCTGGACTCTGGAGTCCAAGCCTTCCCTTTATACACGATTAGGATATTTTGCCTGTGGACAGCTTCCACCCAAGTTCACCTAGAGGAGAGAGACAGCAATTTGTCATTTCAGCTTCAGTGTAGACGAGGACTTCCCCTGGTCCGAGCATAGTGGAGCTGGAATGGGAGAGACAAACCTCTTTAATACATCAGGTACAAAAACACTGCCTTCAATGCACCCAGAGGCCATGGAGAAAGGTTTTCTAGAGGTCGATGAAGGTACCATAGAATCTACAATGTCCGCTAAGGCCTAGGGGCTAGAGGCTTGATCCCCAAAGTAGCGTTAGTCCTCTTGTCTTTTTTTCCTTCTTTTTGCTTCCAGCCTACCATGTGATCTCACTGCTATGGACCAAAGCAGCACGTCTGACTGATCACAGGCAAACTCTCCAAAATGTCAAGCCCAAGTCGACCTTTCTACTTTATACGTTCTTTATCTTAGGAATCCATCCGAGTAATGGCAAACTGGTCAACATGATAATGGTTGCACATTCAACAAGTCAGCAGGGTTCAGTTCAGGCTCACAGAGGAGCAGCCCAGTGACACCTATGATTTTACCTGTATCCATCAAATCACACAGAACACAGGGAAATTTCAAAGACCTCCCTGTGGGGTTCAGGGGCACATGAAGGTAAAGGCTTCTATAGTCTTTCTCGAAAATTTTGATGATGGTCTTCCATAAGGCATTGTCATTTCCCTTCCAAATTCAAAGCTTTCCTCTCAAATTATTTTTCATACTAGGAGAGCAATGGAAAATTCCTCCTGTTGTCTTTCATGACTGAAGAATGTACATCTGACAATATAATGCCTGTCATTTATCAAACATATTATTTTTTGTTTGTTTTTGTTTTTGTTTTAATTTTTGAGACAGGGTTTCTCTGTATGTATCCCTAGCTATCCTGGAAATTGCTCTGTAGACTAGGCTGGCCTTGAACTCATATCGCTCTGCCTGCCTCTGCCTCCCTCGTGCTGGGATTAAATAATGCACCACCACCACCTGGTTTATAAAGCACATTTTTGCCACTGTATCTATTAAGAACTTAGACATAGTTGAAAATTGGGGCATTCATGGCTCCTTAGCTCTCTGGCTGCAGAAACCCATGGACATAACCTGCCCTGGCCTTACTCTGCAATAAAGTATTATTCCAAATGGTCTAGAAGCATGTCAGGGATTGAAGCATTCATTTCCTCACTCTTTTGGGAGTCTTGTTCCCTCATCAGCAAATCCTTTGATTGACATTCCTGGGTAATTGAAAGGCTCTACCATCAGTGGTGGAGGTGACATGGAAGGAAACTGAGGATCTGAAAGTGGACACACTGTTTTAGGTCCACTAAAATGGAGAGTGGAACACGTCACCACCTGCACTCTACACTGTAAAAGAACCTGCATGCAGTGCAAAATGCAATTGCGGAGACACGTACATATATGTGCACCAAAACACTGCTTAGCCAAGTGCTGAGTCTTTACTGGCTACAAAGATGGCAGAAACAATCCATTCAAACAAGAGAGGGAGACCCACAGAGGGGAAATATTGCACTACCCTAGCCACATTTGTGGGTGCCTTATGTAGACCCTGCAGCCCCCTACTAAATGTACTCAACTCACCTCACCTCCCACTACAGAGGCACAACAGAACTTTGAACACATTTTTTCTCAAATGTAAGGTTTGTAAGCCTTCCCAATGTGTGGGGTAAGAAAGGTAGACACTGCTTTCCACGAGACTCCAGACAAGTTATATAAAGGAAACTACCACAGACGGAGCCTTGAGAAGCGAGAAGGATGTGCGGAAGCTAAGACTGTGTGAAGGAGAAGTTCTAGAAGCAGTGACAGCGGTCTGAGAGAGTCTCCTGTGGGGAGAGGGTTATAAGAGACTCAGAGAATACAGAGCTGGACTGAGAAAGGGAAGTGGTGGCTGGAACATGGGCTACAATGTTCAAAAATAAAACTGATAGAAACTCCTAGGACATAAATCTGCCCTAGACAGGCAAGGCAGAAGAAAAGAGAGGCCACATCCATTTTCAGGCCTGCACAGGTGCCTCTGACTCAGAGTCAATAATTGTTCAAGGACGAAGTCTGTGATGAATGTTCAGAAGTTGACCCACATCTCCAGACAAGGCAAGGAGGGCTGGGAACACCCACACATGGTCCCAGGGTCCTGTGAGAATAAGGCAGGACCCTTCTCCGGGGGGCAAGATGGCCCGTTTAACACCTGGCCTTCCCACCTTCTTTATGGTCCAGGTGAGGAGTGACTTAGCCTCTGTGTCAGGATCCCAAAGGGACTGCATGTTATTATACTGAACTGCCTCACCCTGTGCTCTCTGACATTACTACCAACTTGCAGGAAATGGGTTTCTAGACTCATGAAAATTCTCCTCTGTAGATCAAAGACCAATGAGGTTGTCCTCACCAACATGAGTTTGAATGGATCTAAAACCCAGACAGCCTTAAACAGAACCCTTGAAATAAACACAGGGAGCTTGCTCTTCACACCCAGCAGCTTTGGGACTGCACTAGAATCCACAAACGGCAAACCAGATATGAAAGGCAGCTTAATTCTCATCTGGAATCTCTTTCAAACATTGAAGGAGGGTCTGCAGCTGTGGCTCAGGAGATATGAAGCCTTGCTGCTCCTCCAGAGGACCTGACTTCAGTTACCAGCACCCACATAGGCCACTCATAACTGCCTAGAACTCCAGCCTCACAGGATCCAGTGTCCTCTTCTAGCCTCCGCAGGAACCTGCATGCAGTGCAAAATGCAATTGCACAGACACGTACATATACGTGAATCAAAACAAGGTTTTGGAAAGAGAAGATACTTGAGAAGTCTGTGATTCAGGGCCGTTATTTCTCGAAATCTCTTCATTTATCACATCCATGGTGGCTACCCTGTTTTCCTAGCACGTCTTCCCCTAGTCTTTTCCAAATTTTAAGAAATAAAACTCACAAAGGCTTCCCCTCTTTCCCTTCCTACTTTGCTCTTCTTCTGGTTGTTACTTTGCTCCCAGCTACCAGGCCCTGCCTTCCCTGTTGCCAGTCATACCCATCTTACTGGGGTCAGGCATTGAAGTTTAGACAGGTTAAGGCTACAACAAATAAGGCAGAGGCAGAGGCAGAGCTGTGTAATGTAACTCCACGTTCACCTGGATTTCGATCTAAACTACCCTAATATGCCATCAATAATTTCTTCTTTTCTTGCTAGATAAAATAAGACAGTGATGAGAAGTTATTATTTAATCTTGTGAGGAGAAATGTTTGAGGCCTGACACATATCCTTAAGATACCTTGGCTATTATGGAAAGCTGAATCAGCCAGGTGCACAGGGCCTTAACAGTTTCCCAAATCCAGGTGCCAAACCCTTCACATTCGCATGGGAAGCTTGCTTTGAAACAGATTCCTGGCCTCTCTACAGATCTGATGAATCAGAATATGGGGGACAGAGTCCAGAAATCTGTATGTTTATGCTCAGCAGAGAGTTTGGACAATGGTAATGTTTGGCATGCCCTTTTCATGTAGGGCATACCATCTGAATTGGTTTTCTCTTCGAATTGGTATAATGTGGAAACTTAAGAGTTCATTTATCTGACCTTTGGTGATGGGCAAAGGGCAAAGAAGAAAACGCATGGACCCAGAGGATAAGCGTAGGCATCATCAAAAGGTCTGAAATCATTTATTTTCCATAGCTTACCCACACATCAATATCATTTCCCATAAAATGTTAACGGCAATCTAACAGATTAACAGTAAACAAACTTATATTCTGTTTATTGCTGTGCCTCAAAAGAAACGCTACCGGTTCTAACTAAATGTCTGTTTTTATGTTCTGTCATTTCCAGGCATGAAAGTAACTCAAACAAATCCCAGGGCATAAGGAAATGGGCCTCGCTCTTCTGGACTCTGCAGCATTGGAAATGAAGCTGAGCAGACTTTATTACATCCCACGATTCTGCAGCCTTTTGCAAAGCATTTTATTGCACTTGTGGAAGCCACTGGGGTTACGTTTCAATCACAATGACTGACAAGCTAACTTCCCAAACAGTAGCAGAGAGAGCCTGCCACAGTTGCTCAGTTAGGTACTGAGAATAGGACCTTTTCCATACTGTCCCTTAGCCTGGATGAAAATAAAGTGGTAACTAAAATATCTACCCGGTGTTGCTGGCTGACTTAAAAATTGGTATTTTCAGACCTCCAAAAGGTCTAACCGAAGAAGCTGCTCTTTTGGAGCAAGTAGGTTTCCTGTGAGCCAAGAGTTGGTTATAATAGAGGTGAGATTTAGAGAATTTCATTGACTGGCTAATAGCACAGAAACCTTTCCTTGGCCAAATTTTCCTCCTGACATCAGTACACAAAAGCTAAGTTGGAAGAGATCAAGATGGACAAGGTCACTGTGGGAAGTGAGTGAGCACAAGGTGCTACTCATGTATCTTGCATTGTTTTGTGGTTTTGAATTTTTCTTTTCTTCATCTATCTATCTGTCTATCTGTCTGTCTGTCTGTTTATCATCTATTCTGTGTATCTGGGTTGTTTTTACTCTTTAGCTCTTTTGTTCTTTAGGGGGCCTGTTACCCAGCTCCCCAATAAATCACACATAGTCCTATTCTTGCTTATGAATGCCCAGCCTTACCTTGGCTTATTTCTAGCTTACTTTTCTTAACTTAAATTATCCCATCTACCTATTGCCTCTGGGTTTTATCTTTATCTGATATATTTTTCTTTACTTCTCACTCCACGGCTTGCTGTGTAGGTGCTGGGTGGCTGGCCAATGGAGCGCTCCCCCTTCTCTGACTGCTAGATCATTTTTTGCTTCCCTATCTCTCTTTTCCTCCTATTTATTCTTCCTGCTAGCTCCACCTCTCATTTCTCCTGCCTTGCTATTGGCCATTTGCCTCTTTATTAGACCAATCTTTGCCTGTTTTAGACAGGCACAGTAACACAGTTTCACAGAGTTAAACAGATGCAACATTGAAGAATGCAACAGCAACACATATTTGCGTCATTAAACTAATGTTCCACAGCATAAACAAATGTAACACATCTTCAAATAATATTCTACAGCAATCGTGTGTGTGTGTGTGTGTGTGTGTGTGTGTTGTCTACTTGCCTCAGTATATTTGTAGAGGTCAGAGCACAACTTTCAGAAGCTGGCTCTTTCCTTCCACTTTGTGGGTCCTGGGGATGAAGCTTTGGTTGTCGGGATTGGCAGAAAGCATTTTTACCTGAATGAGTCATCTTACCGCCTCTCCATCATATTTTTTGAGACAGAGTCTCTCTCCTAGTACCCAGGGCTCACTGATTATATTAAGTAGGGCAGCCAGCAAAACCCAGGGATCCACCTGTCTGTACCTCTCCAAATGCTTGGGTTTTAGGCACAGGTTATAATGCCCTGCTTTTTGGATCAAACTCTGGTGCTCACGCTGGCGCAGCAGGCATTTTCCTACCTCTCAGTCCCATACAGAGTACCGGGACTATAAGGGAAGGAGGCAGGGAGGCACTCAGTACTTATCTAGTTACTGTACCTGTCTCTATCTTGCAAATTCTTTAAGAAAGAAATTATGGAAGCGGATCTTTGTTCCGAAATTTCAGAGACTAGGGTTAGAGTTTGCACAGGTAAATAGTAGCATGAAAACAAATGTCTGAAGACAGCTTTTTTTTCTTCTCAACATAAATCCTCTTTGAGAATTTCCTTTGGCTTATTGATCACTCCCAGCTTGACCCCACCACCAACATACAGTGACTCAGTATCCTATGACTGCAGGACCTAGGCGGCTTATACCTTAGATAATTCCCTCGACTGCTGCTGCTTACCAATCCTCCCACCTCCCTTCCTCTCCCCCTGATCCTGCATGGCTTAGAATACCTGTTTTGGACTTACAGCCACTTACATCTTCCAATGCCACCATAAGAGCACCTCTGTTTCTTTCCATCTATGAAGCCCACCTATTCCAGGAATTTAAAAAGGGTTTCCCTTTCAGATAAAGCCCACTCTTCAACCTACCACTTAGGGTGTTTGGTACTGGCCTGTTTCTGATCTTGTCTAATAGACTGTGTATGACTCAGTGCATTTTGTTTAAACTCTTGTTCTAGGTCTTTGCCAATAGTGGCAAGTCGCTGGCAGGGACTGGCAGTGCCTCCTGACAGGGAAGCTGTTTGGGCCTCCAGCCTAGACTCTATAGTTCTTTTCTTAGCTGGAAATTAGAAGCTCTGTGATCTGCACAGGCTGTGCTCAGTAGATAAAACACCAGGGAACAAGAGGGAATGGGGAGCATACCCAGAAATCCCCCAGCTGGAGGTTTGCTGATTGGTCAGTCAAACAAAAGCCCTAAAAACCATCATTCCTCTACCATGGAGCTCAAAAGTGTCGCTCTTTGACTTTTGTAGCAAAGGGACTGGAAAGCCTGCTCCTGCCCCTGCAGTTAATTCCGCTCTACACCCACTGGCTCGAAAGCACAGGTGAATAAGCGCTTAGTCACAGGGAGCAATTAGTTGAATCATGCCACAAGTCTTGTTTGGTTTTCCTTGTTGTCTGTGCTGTCAAAGCCCTGCAAAATTCCTCCTTCGTTTCTGCCTCTTTCTCCACGAGTCTCCTTACCTCAGTCTTGGCCTAACTCTCGCCCCATTGTGAAACCGTGCTTTATAAATGCATACACTGAAATGGTGTCGTAGGATGAAGCAGAGTCAGGGCCTTTGGGAAGTGTTAGATCATGAGAGTGTTAGGACCAAATCCAAAAGCCAACAAGGAGACCAAGTCACATATGTAAAAACAAAGAGCCTTTATTTTATACAGTTTCCAAACTCGGTCTCTCCTTGTGTCCAACGTATTGGAATAATCAAAAAGCCCTGAGCACAGTTAGAGTTGGGTTTTTATAGTAGTGGAGGTGGGAGTGGGGGATTCAGGGCCTCTGATTGGCTAGCATTTGTCTAGGAGTGTCCTGGGGAGTGTGTGCTGGCAGGTGATCCTATCTACAGCGGTTGGAACCTTAGGCATTTCCTTTAGATGGTCTGTTCTTGGGTGGTGCTCAGGTAATCTTAGTTTATGGTCCTTCCTGCAACCAGGTATTGCTTTAGGGTAAACAACTGAGACTCAGGCCTCTATTAAATTTATTGATGGTTGAGTCCTACACTGGCAGGTGATAACGGCTGGAAGTAAAGAACTTCCATATTTAGCTCATCATGGCTGCACCCAGACCATGGACTTCATACCTCCAGAGCTCTGAGAAAGGAATGCGTATTGTTTAGGAGCTATCTTGTTGCCTGTGTATTGCTTCAGGTTGTTCAAGCGACTCCGGTTTGCTTTGAACTGCAAAGATAAGGGAACTGGGAAGGGTGGGCCTTGTTTCAGTAAGACTGTAGATCCGGCATAGGTGTTTGGGAGATGAGTTGGAATCTGTTCCTGTTCATCACATCTTCCCTCCTCTCTGTCATACCACACACACTGCTCCCATAACATCCTCATGACAGGCATTGTGCTGGAAACGGTCAAAACCTCAGCGCAAACAAGCTTCTCAAAACCAATCCTCTTTTCTTTAACATACATTCAGCATCTATCATACGCCCCACACTAGAGATGCATGGCAATCCGGGGTCAGCAAACCCATGCACAAGACCCAGACACCCTCTTCGTGTAGACCAGGAGACCGAGGCTGAGAGACTTTGTGGCTTGCTTTAATCTATATGCTAAGAATGCACGGTCCTCTTGAGAAGCTACCCTCTTCCCCCTAAGCTAAACTGTTTGGGCTGCTGAGGCTCAGTCTTTGTCAGTAGAGTATACATTTGCTAAGTACCCTCAGGACGCCTTTCTTGTAGAATCTTCTGAGAATTATTAGGGTTTTCCTGGACTGCTCTGCCGTTTTTTCTGAGAGTATTCAGGGAACTCAGAGCTCTCGGTCTCTTTATGATCTTCCCTCCAGACTCTTTTTTTCCTCACTCCCCCTCTTTGCTCATGTTCTCTTCCACACACACACACACACACACACACACACACACACACACACACACACGTCTGTGAGCTCTAGAGGCTTTGCAAAAGCTGTGGTTTTCATACTGATGCTTTGGTCTGCATCACCAAGAGTGTATGTCAGAACTGAGGTTGGGAGTTGCGGAGATGGCTCAGCTGGTAAGGATTAGAGTATGATCCCCAGAATCCACATTAAAAAGCCAGACATGTTAGCACCCACTTGTAATGCCTCCACGGAGGAGACAGGGACAAGCAAATCCCTGAGACTCACTAGTTAGCCTTCTAGGCCTAATTAGCAAGCCCCCAGTCACATTGAAAGACCCGATCTCTTAAAAGAAGGTGGATTTTGAGATGGCTAATCTTGGTTATGAACTTGACATAACCGGGAAGAGAGAACTTCAGTTTAAGACTTGCCTCTGTCAGACTGGCCACTGGGCATGTCTGTGGCCATTTTCTTGATTGTGGATTGGTATAGGAGGGCCCAGCCCACTGTAGACAGTACTATTCCTAGGTAGGTGAGCCTGGGCTACACAAGGAAAGTGGCCCAACATGAGCCTGAGAGCAAGCCAGGAAGCAATACTCCGCCATTTGCTCTGCTTCAGTTTCTACTTTAAGCTCCTGCTTGAAGTTCCTGTCTTGGCTGCTCTCGGTGATAAAGCATGACCTGAAAGGATAAGATGAAATAAAGCCTTTCCTCCCCAAGGTGATTTTGGTTGGAATCACTGTGGTTTTATCACAGTCACAGAAAGCCAGCTAATACAGATGTCACTAAGCACAATACCTGATACTGATCCTATCAAACACACAGAACCGCAATAGCAAGTCAATCCCTTTAGCTTTCCCTGCACAGTTCCAGGCCAGAGATAGTCAAGCCTCTTTTTGATGTTCTTTCCATCATATTTTGAAAACCACCAGTATAAAGGGATTCTTGCCCCCACCCAAACAAGTAGAACCTTCTCAGTGGAGAACTCAGGTCCTATGTGTACCATATTTTACTCTGGAGGAAATGAGCTGCAAGTGAAATCTAATTAGGCCACTGGAGCATCTCCAGTAGGGTTTGAGAGTTATTTACCACCACAGAAGTCTTCTGGTCTTGGCTAATTAAGTGGTTAGCTTAGCTCGATAGAAGATGAACAAGGAAGGGAAAGAGGGACAGTCATATCTCACTACCAGCTTTAAAAAAATGGCG